TGGATGGGGTGCTTGGCAAGCGGATTTTGTAAGTGTTACTTTGCACCATGCTGGAATATTATAGGTTTTTTGCTCTCAAGACTACTACTCTTATCCAGGCTCCTTATGTTTCACGGCATTGTCACTGTGTGTCTCCCCCTTTCACCTTCTCCTTCTGATCCTTAATCTCCTCTCATGCCCTGATCCTGTCGCATGCTAATGGTTGTTTTGGACGCCATTCTGCTATAGCGCACATGGCCAATGTACAGTGCTGCGTTTTATTCACCGTCACTAGAGCAGTGGTGGTCGGTATTCAGGAGTCTAGTGCATAACTTATTACGACAGGTTCTGTGAGAACTATAATCCTACAATTGCTCATTGTGGATCAGGGTTCGCTGCATGGAGGGTAGCCGGTCAACCTCTAAGCCCATTCGCCATCTAGCGCATATGTGTTCTGGGTTGTCGTAGATCTGGTGTAGACAGCAGTGCAACTGTGAAACCTTAAATATCGGTTTCGTCACTTCTCTCCACCGTATGTTGGGTTTTGGCAACAGGGGCATAGTTCACGCGGGCAGGTAAGATAGCATGGTCAGTACCACTGCGCTGCGTCCTCACCCATGGAGATAAGCGCTAGTTTCTGATGCTCGGTTTATTCTCGCTCGAGCGGCTGTCTTTTGGAGCATTGTGTTTTTTTGGAAAAAAAACGCTGACCCGAAATATGTGCATTGGTTCAACTCCAAGTGAACAATTGTTTTGTGAATAGATTAACTCTGAGTCGCCGGAGCATCTCGTGATGCGTGACTCGCTTGACGTATCCTGTCGTCGTTGTTGCCTCTCGCTCGCGCGTAAATTGTGAACAAATAGGTACTGTCTGTATACGTGTTCGCGTCTCTAGCTACTAGATTGTTGGGCTGTTGTACTAAATCTCGCTTCAATAAAGCTGGTTGAATATTTTGTGTGGTGAGTTGAAGCTCCGGTGGTGTGGGGGGCGTACGGCTCGAGACTGGAGGGATAATTAGCCTACAGAGCTGCGCTCGCTGATGGTGTCCTGACAGGTGGACTGAGCTATTGGCTATTACCTGTGCCCCACTCTGTTGCAGCACTCTTGTAGTCTCTGCCGCGGTAAGCATTTGTTTTTGGCACAAGTAATTCATTCAACTAATATTTTTAAATAACGGGCATGAAGGATGGTCCGCGATTGATATCGCTGGGATTAGGAGGAGAGAAATGAGTGAGTAGGATTGTAGAGGTCCGCTGAGGAGAACGGGTGCTCTCCTTTATAATTTAAATGACTCGCAGTGAGTCATCGCGCCCTCCTCTTCCGTTTACTCTCTTGCATTGTACAGAGCCTTTATTTCTCGCTCCAGTTGCCTGTGCCTGCTTTTTGATGGCCATGTGTCAGTTGCTCGCTGGCTCACGCTGCGCTCGGGACGGGTCACGTTTGAGAGTCGTCCTATGGTCTGTTACGTCCCAGGGAAGAAAATCGCTACGCTGCTTTGGGAGGTCTAGCCGGGAGTAAAACTCAACCCGGTTCCCCTACGGAGAGTAGGAGTGAGAGACTGTTATTCCAGAGGATCTCGCAGTGAGTAGGGGGCAACTTGAGGGAGCAGTTGTGTTCTTTGGGAACTTTGCGCTCTTTGCTCTTGAACGCATGTTACAGGACCTCTGGCGGAGCAGCGAACAAGAAGAAGGATGAGGGCTCACTGGGAGTGCGAATCGGTGGGTGGTTGCAATGGTCAGTCAGTAGAAGGGTTGGTCCTCTCGGGTGGATATACATCCATCAACATGTCTTTTTAGGAATGGCAGATGAGTTGCTTCATTGTCATAGTCGTAAATATTGTTCTTTAGTGGCTTTAATGGTGCTCGCTCGCTCTTGATGCTAACAGACACAGATTTCCAGAGTGGGTAAATCTGGGAGAAGATGCTGAGCCGAGATTTATGTTATTTGCAGAGTTACTATATACACTTGGCACATCGCTTTTGTCCCTTTCGCTGGTGTGCGACTCTTATATCTCCACAGACCTTGCCTCTCGTAGTAGTTTGTCTGGCTCTTTTTTTTTTATTAGCTCAACCATTTTTTGAAAACTGGAATCGGAAGGATCATTATCTGGTGACTTGACCAGGTGGGGAGGGAGTACAATTATCGGTAGAATGAAATTAACCAACGATTTAAAGCTCTTAGACACCAGGGTGATGACTAGCTTTCGTTATCCAACGGAGACACAGATGATTGTGGTTGAAGTGTCAAATATATGGCAACTTACAAACAGTTTTCAGTCAATAGGATATAGTCGTATACTACGCGACATTTGCAAGATGGTTGGAATTTTCTGCTAAATTAAATTGTATATGAATCCTTTGGGTTTGACCGTGCAATTTGCTGATGTGGAAATTGGGAAGCTATATCATATTTTTTTATTAATAATGGGTAAAATAATGTAAATTTAAAGTGTAGGTGAAGAACAAAGAACGACCAATTATTTGCAGTTGGTGACGTAGTTGGGCATTTGTGCTAAGGAGACAGATATTTTTTCCGCAGTTGGTTAGAGACTAAGCCATCACCTTCGTGGCATTCTTACTCTCAAATCGTCGTCTGTTTTTATTTGCATGTTGGATTACTGTATTTGACTTGTGGGTAATGAAGTGTTGTGTGGGTATGCTGTGCATATCTTTCTGATTCGCGTATGTCTACCTTTTCGCATCCGCGCTCGAGGCGGGATCCTTGCGCGATATGGCACTGGAAGGATAGAAAAATCCGTTCCACACTGAGAAAGACCGACCACACAGAAGCTTTCCGTTGCCTGCATATGATTTTTGTGATGTTTCTGTGAGCCGCTCTGATTGTATCATCTCTCACACCCAGGTGACTACAGTCTAATAGCTGTATGTCCTTGTTGTGCTGCTTAAAGAAACGCCATTGTGTGAGAGGTAGAAACTAGTGGCTACTCATGAGACCTTGTGTACCGAGCTTGTTAATCAACTTATGCATACATTATTCAATGGAGGATGTGGTCTCTGTTGTTTTTGGATGTCTGTTTTAAAACCAAGATTTTCCACATGCGACCTAAGATCTGTTTTTATACGTATCCCCATATGTAAGACCAAAACTTTCTCCTTTGCGAGTGATATAGCGCCCAGTGCACTAATGACGGCTCCAAAATCGGCTCACCTTGTCGTTGCACCGGTTTAGGCGACGAAACGCACGAAGCGAAATGGGTGCACTCCGTCCGGTTTTAGAGGTTCAAACAGCAACAGATGCAGTCTTGAGGCTGTGTATTCTTGCATGCTTAATGGTCACTTCGTGCTTAAATATTAAGCAATGTGTTAGTGAATGCAGGATACTCCGTTCGCAACCAAAGTGTTCCGACAGGCGTCGAATAACGCTCGCCCGTGTTGGGTTTTTTAGTGCAGTGGTGTATACACTGGTTTGGGGTTGCTATTAAGGTCTGCTGTGTATTTGATTCTCATGATATTTACCTTCCTTGAGGGGCGTCTGCTAGCTGTATTGTTGTTTGGGCCCAGCTGTGTCAATGTGTCTACAATTGCCCAGTTTATATTGCAGGAAGCCCATTAGACATTCAAGACTTTTGGGTTTGTTGTGTTGGTTGCTTTTTATTCCTCACCGCATTTTTGGTGTGTTTTTTTCTGTTTTCTCGCGTACTTTTTGGATAATGTCATTTATCTTGATGTGTTAATTACACCTGAGCCGATTCATTTCTCAAGTTACCGCATTGACCCCTGTCGTTTCTCGGGCTACTATATATTGAGCAATATCATGACTGCCCTACCTATTTCTCAAATTCTACATAGCTTAGTATCGTAAATTAATTTGGTGATTTGATTATGATGTTTATGAGTTTACTTAATGTTAGATGCCTTTTTCTAGTGGCATTTTCTTAATG